GGGGGGGGGGGGGAGTCACGGGGCTTCGAGGGGGAAGAAGACCGATAGAGGATGAGGCACGACCAAATTAAACCATTGCGGTTCATTTTAAGGACACCCTTCCAAATACGCCCCACGCTGTCTGGTGGTCAGCGGGTTACCCGGCCCGGCAGAGGATTCGACTGATTCCTATTGTACCGCCGTGACCGCATGAAACCTGTCTCGGAAAGCAGAAGAGTTCCACACGAACACACCGAACCCGCGCCGCAGCCTTTTCGCAGTCGTGAGCCATCTTTTGCCCTGAGGCCGAGCGTCGGCAGCTCACCCACCCACCTGCCAGAGCAGCGACACGTAGGACACCACGCGCTGGCCGCAGGCCTCCCCCCCGTAGCCGTAGAAGCAGTAGCACTTGGACACCGTCACGTAGTCGTCCCCGCTTCCCCCCCTCGCGGCTCGGCACTCGCCCCGGCCGACGGGACACACGTCTTCGTCGCAGTACCTGTGGGATCCGAAGACAGTCGCGGAGGAGGCGGGGTCTGTGACAAGAAAAAAATGACATGCTTGTGGTTGCTGATACTGCAACAGCAGCAGCAGCAGCAGCAACAGCAGGGGTACTGGAGAGGCTGGTTCTAAACGTTGGCGTCGCGACAAAAACAAGGCGCGGAGGGTGGTCACCGAAGCAAAATTTCCGTCATCATCGGCAGCGACGGGTTCAACGGTTGATCTGTGGATAAATGTAGTGCAGATTATTGTGTTGTCCATGGGCCACTGCGCTTCGGATGAGAACGGTGCTAGGCAAGGAGAATAAAACTGGCAGACGACACAAAACCAAAATACGTGTTCACACCGAACGTTAATGCCAAAAACATCCATTTGTTTCGGTCCCGAATTCGTCAGCAAGGGCGCACACACCCGCGGACAAGGGCAGTTGGTGGCCGACACACGGACACGACACCTACCTACCTACGGATCCGCCGAGAAAGAAAAGAGAGCGCACAAAAGTTACCGCCATCATTATTCTCACCGGAAGGTCACCTCAGGAGCTACGCCCAGCGTCCACAGCGACACCCCCACCTCGTCGCCGCCACCGCCCTCTCCCTGCTCCACCTCCCTCTCCGCCGCCCTCCTCCTAATCATGCCGTCTCTTCCGCCCGGCGGTCCAACCCCTTCGTACCTCTTGGCACGCCCGGAGGCCTCCGCCTCGGTCTCCCCGGACACCACGACGAACAGCGTCGTAGCCGCGGTGCCCCTCCCGAGCCCCGCCCCGCCCCCGACGGCCGCCGGGTGCAAGGGCGGCGGGTGCGTGAGGTTCCACGTGAACGTCGTGCTCCACCAGGGCAAGTCGGCGGCGGCGGCGGCGGCGGCGGCGGCGGCGGCATCGGAGCTGTCGTCGTACGGCGGCGGGGGCCGGTCGTTCGCCTCTCCGGGCTCGCTGAGCGCGTCCGCGGTCCAGAGGACCACCGTCCCTTCCCGCGCCGTACCTGGGGGGGGAAGGGAGGGGTACGCATATGCCGCTTGTTGTCGTCGTGAATGATATAGTTTGTGTTACGGTAGTGGTAGGATTTCCAAGGATCGTTCTTGAGGAAACAATGACGGAGGTAGATAAGGGCGTCACACGACGGTAGTTGCGGTGAGCAGCGACAAGCGAACAGGCAAGTGGACTGCGCCATCGCACGCCTGTTTCGGCCTGATGTTTCCCCTGGACAGAGCATAGCACGGAGCCACGAGAAGGCATCATCAATTCGTAGAGCCAGAGCTTAAGTTGTATCGCCACGGCGGCAAGCGGGGGGGGGGG